AGCTGGAAAATTCGCCTGTCGCGCGCGCCGTTGACTCGACTCCTGAGTAGTCGGTTAGCGCGACAGGAGGGTTTTTCAGCTGTCGCGCCAGCCGACTACTCAAAAATCGAGTCAACGGCGCACGCGATAGGCGAAAGTTTGAGTTGTCGCGCGCGCCGTTGACTTGTAATTTGTGATTTTAAGCTCGAAAATGTCATTTTTAGTAGTTTTAGGGTCAATTTCCGCCTTTTTTATGGCGTTTTTCATCATTTTTGGGTCATTTCTAGCCATATGGGATCGCTAGATTTGTGATTTTCAGCTCAAAAATGACAATTTCAGTCGATTTTAGCCACTTTTAGGCACAAATTTAGCCTTGAAAGTGTCCATGTACGCCATTTTTGTACATATTTTGGTGATTTTCTAGCCTAAAATCGCTCTGAAACAAAGTTTTGGGTCAATTTTACTCAATTTTAGGCCATTTTTAGCCACTTTTGGGCCATTTCGAGTCGTTTTTAGGGCAATTTTAGTTATTTTTAGGACATTTTTTATCATTTGTAAGGCAATTTGACTATTTTAGAGCATTTCTAGGTCGAAATTTCGCGATTTTCCTGCTTTTCAGCTAATTTTTCCAAGATTTCGAGGCTTTTCACAGCCAAAAGTCCAATTTCCACGCACCTGAACACTAGAAATCATCGTGGACAACGCGAAAATCGTCGCGCAATCCTTGACAGTCGACTGCGAATCGAACGCTCCTTGGGTGTCCATGAGCAATACGGCAATCTCCTCTCCGTTCTTGTCCTTCATGAGGAACGGCTCACTCCAGATGAGGATTCCGTTCGTGTCGCGCTCGCTTCCGCCACGCCATGAGAATCCGGAGAGCGGCGAGTTGGGCGACATCCATTGGTTGTTGTCCAATTCCACTTCTGGAAGAGAGGAAAAATTGTGAAAAATAGCCTAAAATTGAGGGAAAATGGGTCAAAAATGGCTTAAAATTGAAGCAAACTACCTTAAAATGTGTCAAAAATAGCCAAAAATGGATCAAAACTAACCTGAAATTGAGAAAAAATGGCTTTAAAACAGTCAAAATTGGCTTAAAATTGAAGAAAGTGGCTTAAAATGACTCAAATATGACTACATATTGATCATAACTAGCTCAAAATAGGTCTAAAATGACTTAAAATCAGACAAATATGGCTGAAAAATAGCTTAAAACTGGCTCAAAATGACCGAAAATGAAGCAAACCTAGGTTAAAATTGACGAAAATGTCTTAAAATCAGTCAAAAATAGCCGAAACTAGCTCAAAATAGTCATTTTTATGCTCTAAAACAGGCTCAGGACGCTTTAAAACCCCCAAAAACAGTTATTTCAGTCCAAAAACATTTTTCAAAAATTTGCTCGGATGGCCTAGTGGGATTTTCGACGAAAAGTTTGGAGCCAAGAAGTCCCGGGTTCGACTCCCACCGGTGGCAAATTGTTTTTGAAAACTTTTTTAGGGGTTTTCAGACGCGGGAAGTTCGAAAATCGAGGTTAAAATGGGCTCAAAATGCATTTTTCAGCTCATTTTCAGCCAAAATTCTCGGTCCTACCTCCCATAACCTTGTCTGCTTTCGATCTCCATGTCAAATATCGAAGGAAGAAGTTCAGCAGGAACGATTTTCCTTTACGGTACGCTCCGGCGACTCCAATCACGGCTACCTGGAAAAATATGGGGTTTTTTGGGGTAAAAATATGCGGAAAATCGATTTTTGGCACTTTTTGAAGATTTTTAGGCTGAAAAAAAAACGGATTTAAGAGCATTTTTGAAGCCAAAAAACGGCAAAAATCAGATTTTTTGGTCAAAAATGACTGAAAATCAATTCTGACTCATTTTGACCGGATTTTCAGCATGTTTACTATATTTCAAGGCTAAAAAAGTCGTTTTGAAGACAAAATGAGCCAAGAATTCAGTTTTTTGAGTCAAAAATGAGCCGAAATCGATTTAGGCAGATTTTAGGCCTAAATTTCTATTTTAGAGCATTTTTAGAGCCTAAACAAGGCGAAAAACGCATTTTTTTAAGCTAAAAACATGCTGAAAATCGATTTTTCAGGGTTAAAATGAGTCAAATTGAGTCAAAATGGACTTTTGCCCAATTTTAGCTATTTTCGCCCTTTCTAGACATTTCTTGGTCCAAAATTTTGAATTTTCAAGGTTTTTTAAGCTAAAAACCAGATTTTAAGCACTTTAAGGCTAGAAAACGCCAAAAATCAATATTTCTATGACAAAAATGAGTCAAAATCGATTTCGCCCAATTTAGGCATATTTTGGTTCCAAATTTCGAATTTTCACGGTTTTAGAACTGAAAAATCAGTATTTAGAGCATTTTTGAAGCCTAAAACAGTCAAAAAACACATTTTTAGGGTTAAAATATGCTGAAAATCAAGTTTTTTTGGTTAAAATGAGTCAAAATCGAATTTGGTCGATTTTGACCCTTTTTGGTCAAAAACATTGAATTTCGGCCGATTTTGATGGGATTTTTAGCATTTTTGACCTATTTTAAGATCAAAAAGCCAATTTTCAAGGTTAAAAAAAAAAGCCTAAAATCGGATTTCTAGGTGTCAAAAATGAATCAAAATGAGCCAAAATCAATTTTGGTCGATTTCTGGCCTTTCTAGGCCTTTCTTGGTCCAAAATTTCGAATTTTCAAGGTTTTTTAAGCTAAAAACCAGATTTTAAGCACTTTTAAGGCTAGAAAACGCCAAAAACCCATATTTCTAGGCCCAAAAATGGCTTGAAAATCAATCCTGGCTCATTTTAGCCCGATTTTCATGATTTTTGGCATATTTCAAGCTAAAAAAAATTCTTTTTTAAGGCATTTTTCTACCTTTTTATCGGCAACTTTGGGGTTCAGGAGAATCTGTTCGAGTAGATCAGTATTCAGCTCAAACGAGTGATCAGTCTCCTCGACAACTTCAACAATTCGAACCGCCTGTGGCTCGGCGGGCAGCAACTCTTCCACGTGGCCCGAATGATTGATCATCTCGTCGAGAAGCGACGGTTCGGGTGCTGATTGTTGGTGCACTTCCATTTTTTGCCGGTTTTTACACTGGAAAATCGACTTTTCGGGGGTTTTTAATAGAAAATTTGAAAAAATTTGCGAAAAAATGATTCTAAATCGCTAATTTTCATCAAAAATCCCTTTTTTCCCGCCAAAATCCGTCCAGAAATAATGAAAAACCGCTGAAAATAAAATATTTTTCAAAAAAATACAGTAATCCTCAAAGGCGCATGCCTGGATTTTGTAAGTTGGGTTTTGACTGGAAATTTTTGTTTTTGTTTTTTTAAACGGTTTTTTATGATTTTTGAAGAGAAAAAATGCAATTTCTAGGTTTTCAAACATGTAAAATTTGATTTTACAGGTTAATTTAATTGAAATTCTCTATTGTACTGCTAAAATTTGCGAAAAATAGCCAAAAATCGTTTTCTTCAAAGTTACTGTATTTTCTTAAAGGCGCATGGCAGAAAATTTCGCTTGGTTTCGACTGGAAAACTGATTTGTACGATTTTTAACTAATTTCAGCTGGAAAAAGAACTAAAATCTTACAAAAAAGAAGAAAAGAGAGAAAAAACAAGTTTTTATGACTCAGAAAAGTTTTTGTGTTGTTTTTCAGGCAAAAAAAAAACCAATTTTGCAGCTAATAAATATTTTTATATTTTTCCATTTTTTTAGGCCATAGTAATGAGATAGATAACTTTTCGAAAAAAGAAATGTAGACAGGGAATAATATAACCGGGTCAAAGGCCTGGCGGAGAAGAGCGGTACGAAAAGACAGGGCGAGAGAGTGTGGAAAAACAAGAGAGCGGGCGAGAGAAAACGGCAGGGAGCAGAGAGAGGAGACGCAGAGAAATAGGGAACCACCCCACGGGACACTGCTATTATTGACAGACGACTGGGGGGAATACTGAAGAGGGGAAAATATGTTTATTTGGAAAGAACTAGAAGAATCACATGAATAGAAATTTAAAAATAAAGAATTAAAATTAAAAAAATTAATAAAAATTAAAAAAAAAAATTTTTCGAAAAATTTTTTAAACCATTCAACAAAGCTGAACGAAGTTTAAAAATTTCGGTAAAACAGAAAAAAAATTTTTTCTAAAAAATTTAAAAATTTTTGTCCTCCAAACTTTCAAAAGCAATGCTTAAAAACACATAAAAGTGTCAGACATCAAGTTCCAACACTAAAAAGAACAACACAATTAGGCTCCGCCCACTTTTTATAAATAGTTGCGAAATTTTGGGGTTTTAGGCGACGTGTACGTACTAACAAAGTGCCCAAAAAGCACAAATAGAGTTTATGAACGATTTTGAAATTTGGAATTTTTAGAAAATTTAAAACAAATTTTCTAGGAAAAAAGAAGAAAAATAGGTCAAAGTAACAAAAAAAGTAATCAGTTCCCTGTCAAATTTACAGTGATAGAGGCAGTGATTGACAGTTTTGGTGATGGGAGGATTTGGAATTTTTTGGGAAAAATTTTTTTTTCGGAAATTTGAATTTCGAATAAATTCTAGTATAATACAAATGTACTTTCCTATTTCGGAGTATTAAAATTTTGGGAAAATTTGCATAAAAATAAAGAAAACTTTGGGAATTTTCAATTTTTGGAATTTAAAAGTTTTGGAAAATCTTATAAATGATAGATTTTTATATAGATTTTAGGATTTTCAAATCATATGCTTATCACTTTCACATTAGATCAACTAAAGACAACACAGCTGTCACCAACAATCTTTTGAGAGGAGCATGCCCCCACAAAACAAGTCATATCTCAAAAACTACGGTAGCTATAAAAAAGCTGTCAACTATTAAAATGAAATACACAAAATTTCCTACATTTTGATATAAAAGTTTTACTTCTAGCGTTAAAGGGTCCCAAGATACAAGCTGAGAACCTGAAAATCGCTTTTGGAGCCTAAAAGCAGTATACACCTCCTCAAAAAGCTTGCATCTCAGAAACTAAGAATTCTACCAAAACATTGTTGGTGAACAAGATGAAATACATAAAATTAACTACATTTTGGTATAAAAACCCTCAACTATAGCCCTAGGGAGTCTTAAGATACAAAGATTGGAACCTAAACAGCGCTTTTGGCAAGCTTAAAGCAGGAGGGGTAAGGTATACTATCTTAAAATGGCTGTATCTCAAAAACTAAACGTGCTATCAAATATGTGTAAATTGGTAAAGTAAAATGCACAAAATTATCTACAATTTGGTATAAAAACCATACTTCTAGCACTAAAGGGTCCCAAGATACAAAGCTTGGATCCTGAGATATCTCTTGGGCAGCGCCTCAAAGCGGTGTACCACCGTAAAAGGTTATATCTCAGAAAACTTTAGGAGTTGATACATTTCTGCTAATTGAAAAAATGAAAAACACAAATTCTCCTACATTTTAGTATACAAAACAGGAGTCCCAAGATACAAAGCTTGCAACCTAATGAACGCCTCAGGTGGCTTTATTGCAGTATACATTACCTTAAAATGGTTATATCTAAAAAACTAGAATTGCTATCAAAATTGGGTCAACTAACAAAATGAAAATCATAACACTTCCTACAATTTGATATAAAACCATACTTCTAGCACTAAAGGGTCCCAAGATACAAAGCTTGCAACCTAACAATCGCTTTTGTCGAAAGCGCTATCAAAAAAGTGTCAACTACAAAATTGAAGCTCTATTTTGCCCCCCCCCCCCTATGTTTCAGCGAATTTCTTTCAAATTCTCTTCAGGCGTTCTTCTCAAAAAGATATTTGATTTCCGATCTCCTCTCTATCCCCACCATCTGCCACCCACCCTCGCAAAATGAGTCTCCCCTGAAACAATTGCTTCTCTCTTTCTCTATTTTTCTCTAATCCTCTCCATTTCTCACACTCTCTCTCTCTCTATTTTTTTTTGCTCCGGCTCCTTTAACATTTTTCCATCGGTACGCGCGTCACACGGAGACATAGAGCTTATCGGATGCAACTAAGGAGAGAGAGAGAGAGAGAGTACATAAGGAAGAGAGAGTGGCCAGAGAAGCAGAGCCCCCATTGCTCAGCTGACTGCTTGCCACTGGGGATAGATGGAGGAGGAGAAGGTCGTTTTTCTTGCATCTTTTCCCTTTTTTTGGACCTCCACAAGTTTTTTCTTTTCTATTGCTCCTTTTTTTCGGATCCCGAAAAAATCAAAGCTACCAGAGATGTTTTTTAGGTTCCAAAGCTTGTATCTTACGACATTTTAGTGCTAGTGATATGATTTTGATGTCAAATTGTAGGAAATATTATGTTTTTTATTTTGTTTGTAAACAATTTTTTAATTGGACTCTTAGTTTTCGAGATATGAGCCTTTTAAAGAGGTGTATACGGCATTTAAGCTACCAAAGGTGTTTCTGAGGTTCCAAAGCTTGTATCTTACGACATTTTAGTGCTAGTGATATGATTTTGATGTCAAATTGTAGGAAATATTATGTTTTTTATTTTGTTTGTAAACAATTTTTTAATTGGACTCTTAGTTTTCGAGATATGAGCCTTTTAAAGAGGTGTATACGGCATTTAAGCTACCAAAGGTGTTTCTGAGGTTCCAAAGTTTGTATCTTGGAACACTGTAATGCTAAAGAAATGATTTTAATATCAAAATGTAGGAAATTTTGTGTATTTCATTTTGTTAGTTAACACTTTTTAAGTAGAATTCTGAGTTTTCGAGATATGAGCCTTTTAAAGAGGTGTATACCTCATTTAAGCTACCAAAGGTGTTTCTGAGGTTCCAAGCTTTGTATCTTGGTACTCCTTAGAGCTGGAACTATGAATTATATACCAAAATGTAGTAAATTTAGTGTATTTTATTTTGCCAAATACACTTTTTTAATAGCTTTTCTAGTTTTCGAGATATAAACCTTTTTGAGAGATGTATACCGAATTTAATCTACCAAAGGTGCTTCTTAGGTTCCAAAGCTTGTATCTAAGGATCCTTTTAAGCTAGAAACATGATTTAAATATTAAATTGTAGGAAATTTTTCACGTATTCTATTTTGTTATTTAACAATTTTTGGATAATTTTTTTAGTTTTTGAGATAAAAGTTTTTAAAAGGTGTATACTACATTTAATCTACCAAAGGTGTTTCTTAGAATCCAAAGCTTGTATCTTGAGACCCTTGCGCCTTAGGCTAACGATTTTTATATCAAAATGTGGGAAATTTTGTGTATTTTACTTTGTTAGTTAACAATTTTTTGATAGAAATCTCAGCTTTTGAGATACAACATGTTTTAGGTGCCAATTCTTAAAACTGAATTTTCATGATTTTTCAGAAATCGGTCCATATCTCTGCTGAAAACGGTTCAAGCTGAAAAAAATTAGCACCATTGAGTTTGTTTTGGAAAGAGCTTCGAAATGAGTATAAACACCACAGATTTTCTAAAAATGTGAAATTTCAGTTTTTTTGGGTCCCAAAAATGTCCAAATTTCAAAATTCTTCAAACATAGTTTTGTTTATACTCATTTTGAAGCTTACAATTTGCTGAGTATAAAAATATTAAAAGTTTGAAGGTTAGACTGAAATTGGCTGAAATTTAGCTTCAAAAATTTTGAAAAAAAAAGTTTTTTGAAAATGTTTCAAATTCCCAAATGTCTCTTCTCTTCCACATAGTTAACCTCCTCATCTCATGCCTTGAAACATTAGAACCTCTAAAATCACATGACTTTTCGGCATATGCCCTCTCTCTCTCCCTTTCTCTATTTCTCTGCGTCTCTCCGATTTCTATACTCTCTCACTCTCTCATATGTTTACAGAGCGCCTTCCCGCGACCGGTTCGAGAGCCTTGATGGTACTTTTTTCTCTGTACATTGTGATTTTTTGCCATTTGGAAAAGAGCGAAAGTTTCTGGGGTTTATATGTATTCACTTGAGAGATATAGTATTGGGTTTACTAATACTCTACAGTAATTTGCAAGCCTTGTATCTTAGGACTCTTCAGGGCTAGAGAAATGGTTTTTATACCAAATTGTAGGTAATTTCATACATTTTATTTTATTAATTTACATATTTTTGATAGCACTTTTAGTTTTTGAGATACAGCCATTTTAAGATAGTATACCTCACTCCTTCCCTGCTTTAAGACTGCCAAAAGTGTTTCTTAGGTTCCAAGCGTTGTATCTTGGGACTCCTTCGTAATGGATTTATGATTTTTATACCAAATATTAGAATATTTAGTGTATTTTGTTTTGTTTGTTAAAAATATTATGATAGCTATTATAGTTTTCGAGATATAACCATTTTAAAATTGTGTATACTACATGCAAGCTATTCGTGATGTATCTTAGGTTCCAAAGTTTTTATCTTGGGACTCCTTAAAGCTAGTAGCATGATTTTTATACCAAAATGTAGGACATTTTGTGTACTTTATCATACCATTTAGCAAAATATTAAAAGTTGTCTTAACTTTTGAGATATAACCACTTTAAGATAGTATACTTCACCGCCCCCCAGCTCTCAGGCTGCCAAAAGCGCTTTTTAGGTTCCAAGCTTTGTATCTTGAGATTCTTTAACACTAGACAATTCATTTTTATACCAAATTTTAGATAATTGTATGCATTTTATTTTGATAGTTTACAAGATTTTGATAGAAATGTTAGTTTTTGAGAAACACGCGTTTTAAGATAGTATACCTTACCCCTCCTGCTTTAAGATTGCCAAAAGTGTCTCTTAGGTTCCAAAGCTTGTATCTTGAGACTTCTTAGCGCTAGAAATATGATTTTTATAGCAAATTATAGGAAATTTTGTGAGCTTTCTTTTGTTAGTTTGCAAAAAATTAATAGCTGTTTTAGTTTTTGAGATACTAGTCTTTTCAAGATAGTATATCAAACGCCCCCTGCTTTAAGCTTGCCAAAAGTGTCTCTTAGGTTCCAGACTTTGTACCTTGGGGTTCCTTAGGGCTAGAAGCATGATTTGTATATCAAATTGTAGAAATTTTTATGTATTTTATTTTGTTAGTGAACACTATTTTAATAACTACCGTAGTTTTTGAGTTACAACGTGTTTTGTCGAGAACCATCTGCTCCTCTCTTTTGTCGCACCGCAAAACAGGTGGGTGGTGCCAGTTTTATTATCTTTAGTCGGTCTGATAGGAAAGGGAATAACCATATAGTTTTAAAATTCTAAAGTTTATATAATTATAGAGTTTTCCATGTTTTTTTGTGTTCCAAAAAATGTGTAAGTATTTGAAAACCTCCGCATAGATTTGTGATAGATTTCTTTCAATTCTAATATTACTTTCAATTTTCAAAAAATAGAAAAGTGTCATATAAGAATCAAAATATCACATTTCAAATATAAATGTTATTTTTGATCTGAAAAAAAAAGGAAAAAAAAAACTCTCCCATTTTCCCATTATCTCTAATGGTCTGTCCAATTTCCAGTTGTTTATGTTTTGATCTACCACTACTGTCATTATGGACCAGTCGCCACACCAGCCCCCAAAAAGTAGCCAATCAACAAAATATAGGTCCTGTTTTCACTTTTTTTCTCTCAATTTCAGCCCCACTTTTTTCTCGTTTCCAACCCCCCTATGTTGGCTGTAAAATGAAAACTAAGCGTTTAAAGGCGCATACCTCCCGAAATTTTTGAAAACAGTTTTTAGATTTTTATACCAAAATGTAGAGAATTTTATGTAATTTATTTTGTTAGTAAACACTTTTCTGATAGCTTTTTTAGTTTTTGAGATATATAAGTTTTTAAAGGTGGGGGGACAGGAAATTTTACGGGGGATTTTTGGGGCCAGAGTATGCATTCTACCGTGACGGTGTACAACGCTTAATGTCACTCTGCGTACAGCTGTCGTCCTCGCCTTTATGTATGCAATCGGGCGTGCGCTTTCTCTTTGCCCGCGTGGCTCAGTCGGTAGCGGCGCCGCACCCTCAATCATCGCCCTCACAAGTTCAACTCCTCGAGAGGCATCTTTGAACGGAATTTCGAGAACATTATTTTTTTCATGTCCCCCCACCTTTAAGAGGGCAATGCTAGTAAAGGGCGCCCAAGAGTGTGTCTTGGGGTTCCCAAGCTTGTATCTTGGAACACTGTAGGGCTAAAAAAAAATGATTTTAACAATTAAAATGTAGGAAATTTTGTCTATTTCACTTCTCCGATTTCTCTACGATTTCTACGATTTCTAGTAGACGATTTCTAGTAGAATTTCGAGTTTTCGAGATATGAGCCTTTTGAGATAGTGTATGCCGATTTGAAAGTACCCAGTGTGATTTCTCAGGTTCCAAGGCTTGTATGTTATGAAATTTCAATGCTAGCGATATGGTTTTTACACCGATTTGTAAAAAAATGTTATGGTTTTTATTATGTTAATTAGCTAATTTCTGGTAGAAATTTTAGTTTCCAAGATATAAGCCTTTTTAAGAGGTGTGTAAAGCAACCAGAGGGGTCCTTTGGTTCCAAGATTTGTATCTTGAGACTCTTTGAAGCTATAAAAATGATTTTTATACCGAAATGTAGAAAATTTTATGAACTTTACTTTGTTAATTATTAAAATTACAGTAGCATTTTTAGTTTGTGAGATATCTTCATTTTGAGATAAGAGCATACAGTACCTAGAATACCAAAAGTGCTTTTTAGGTTCCCAAGTTTGTATCTCAAGACCCTTTAATGCTAAAAATATGATTTTTATACCAAAATATAGGACATTTCATGAACTTCATTTTATTATTTAGCACTTTTTAAATATCTTTTTTAGTTTTTGAGATACAACTTGTTTTAGGTACCTATCCTTAAAAAATCTGAATTTTTCGATGTTTTAGAAATCGGTTCATATCTCTACTGAGAATCGTTCAAACTGAAAATTTTCAGTACTATTGAGTTTATTTGTTTTGATAAAAAACTTCAAAATGAATCGAAACACTGTTGGTTTTCTGAAATTTCCGATTTATTCTGGTCCCAGAAATATCAAAATTTCAAAAAGTTCATACCTGGTCTTGTTTATACTCATTTTGAAGCTTAGAACTTGCTGAGTCTAGAAAAATAATAAAATTTGAGTTTGGTCTGAAATTGCCAAGAATTTGGGGGTTTTTTAGAAAATTTCGAAAAAAATTTTTTTTGAAAAATTTGAAATTTTGGTTTTTTCTGAAATTTCCAAAAATGGGGATTTTATTTTAGCTGAAAATTGTTCAAAGTTTAATGTAACAGATGTTCCTGTCTCATTGTTCTAGAATTGTCTATTCTTTTTTCCCCAATTTTCCAATGTCATGACCTTCTCCCCCTTTCCATTTTTCTCATGAAATCACCTGATTTTCTGCCATTCTCTCCCTTTCGATTTTTCCCCCATGTGACCCCCTCCCCCCAGCCCTTTAGATGCCAAAAAACGACACAGACATGGCTAAACCAGTCCAAAATTGTGAATTTGGAGACAAAAGTGACCTTTCCAATCATATGACTCCCAAGAGAAGGCTTGTATGTACTGCGCAGTAAGCGTCTATTACACTTTCTTGTGTCCTTTTTTTTGAAAAAAAATTGGTTATAAATGACCAAAAGAGAGAAAGGATTTTTTCATTTTCTTATCTGATTGCTTTGTTTGTTTGGAACCAAGCAAGCTAGACATGTGATTTTTATACCAAACTGTAGGAAATTTAAAGTTCTATAACTTTGTAGTTGATTATTTTTTGAAGGATATTCTAGATTTTGAGATATAGTCTGATTTTAAAGATCTTCTATGTTCCCTGGGTTGTTCTACTAGCATCTCTCTAGCTCAACTTTGATTGCTTATATCTTTGGAACCAAATATGCTAAACATATGATTTTTACACCAAATTATAGAAAATTTTATGTTCTTTGATGTAGCTTATAGGTTTCGAGATGTAGTTCAATTCCCCCACGTTTGCCTCTTTCCTTTGGCTATCCAAGGTCATATATTTAGAACCAATACAGCTAGAGTTATGATTCTTATACCAAATTATAGGAAATTCAAAGTTCTTCAATGTTGCAATTAAACATTTTTCGAAATTATTGCTAGATTTTGAGATATAACCGGATTCATGCATTTAGTGAAGCTAATTATTCTCTGATACCAAAATCATATGATCCGATTCAAACGTCTTCTATGTCTATGTACATTCAAAGTCGCTATGCGTCTTTAAAAACAATAATAAACTCATAAATCAGTAGAAAAAAGTGGCATTTTCTGTTTATTTTCAAAAAAATCCAGTTCGTCTCGATTTTTGAACAGAACACCACCCGAATCGTCCAATTTTAGCCCCTGTATCTCATTTTCTGTAAGAGATATCAAAAAGTGTTCGCCTGAGAAAATGTAGCTCATATTATGATAAACATTTTATCAGTTGACTACTTTTTGATATTTTTCAAAAGAAGTGAGATATAAAGGCTCACAGTGGACGGTCCGTAATTTGAGTGTTTACGGTAATGTACAAATAATTTTCAGCGTCAATGAAATCATTTTTATTTGTATTTTTAGATTTAATTTTAGATTTTTGAAACTTTAAGATACCGAGATTTGGTTTCTAGAACTATTCAAGAAAATATTTTTCTCAAAATTTCAAATTATCATATCTCTTGACTGATTTCTCTTGACTGATTGACTGATTTTGATTATCTTTTTTTTGTACAGTAATCCTTGATTTTTGAAATTTCATATTTTTGCTCATCGTTAGTTGTCATATCTCCCTTTGAAGTTGACCGGTCTGAAATTGACCGATTGCTCATTCTTAAATCTTCCAGAATATTCTTGGGTAGTTCGACTCGCCAAACAAAAAGCACTGAAAAGAAGATGTCCCGACGAATCCGTCGTGACAGTGAGACCTCGACCGATTCGTGGTCTTTGGTGGAAGGTGAGGAACTACAGTAACCCAAAAAAATTTTAAATTTTTTTAAATTTCAGAAGACCGTCTGGAAGACGACTTCTCCTTGAATTCAACGGACAATGAGCTGGAAACGGAGCCAATAATCGAGGAGCCGTTGACGTCAGATGAGGAGGAGGAGGATACGGCTTCTGAGAAGTCGTTGGATTCAGAATCCGAAGATTCTGAAGATTCTGAAGTCTCGGACATCGAGGAGGAGGTAGAAGAGGGCCAAGAAGCGTTGGAGGACGTTTCTGAGGTCTCTGAATCCGAAGATTCTGAAATTTCGGGATCTGAGGATTCTGAAGAAGAGGCTGATGACGTGGCATCTCAAGTTTCTGAACTTTTGGAGATCAACGAGGAGGAGGAGGCTCGTGAGGCAGCATTGATGTGCAAGGAGGATGAGAATTGGATGTTGGAGGAGTTGGAGGGTTCGTTTGATAAAAAATTTGGGGAAAACGGGAAATTTTGATACCGAAGAATTGCTATTTTGAGTTTTTAAGAGATCCTAAAAAGTTAAAAATTTTTTTTTTTTTAATTTTTTAAATTTTTTATTAATTAAAAATTTTCAAAAGCCTATATCTTCGTTAGTTTTTAATGGATTTTCAATATTTTTATATCAAAATGTGCCAATTTTCATGAGTTTTGTTGCATTAATTTATCTGTTTCTGATAGCAATTTTGGTTTTTGAGATACGAGAAAATAGGTCTACTGCTTCCAGGCGACTGGAAGCTTTTCTTATGTTCTAAAGCTATTATCTTCGGACCCTTTAATGCTAGAAAAATGGTTTTTATATCAAAATATAGCTAATTTTATAATTTTTATCTTATTAGTTTACAAAATTTAGATATCATTGCTAGTTTTTGAGATACAACATGTTTTAGGACCCGATCTTCAAAACCTGAACTCCTCAGATCCTTCAGAAATTGGTCCATATCTCTGCTGAAAATTGTTCAAACTGGACAATTTTATTATTATTCAGTTTGTTTCAATAAGAGCTTCAAAATGAGTATAATCATGACCCACTTTAGAAAATTTCGAAAATTCATTTTTTAGGTATTTTTTAGGGCCCACCACGAAAAATGTGAAATTTCAATTTTTGTCAAATCTAGTCGTGTTTATACTCATTTTGAAGCTTTTGACTTGCTGGCTGTAGAAATTAAGAAATTTTGAGGTTGGACGAAAATTGGCTGAAAGTCGATCACTTTTCTGAAAATGTAAAAAAAAAATTTTTTTTGGAAAATCGAAAATTTTCAAATACTCATATTTCAGCTAATTTCCAACATTTTTCAATGATTTTTATACCAAAATGTAGCTCATTCTTTGAATTTTCATCATATTTAAATTTCTCAACTCTAACTTTTATGAAAATTGACTTATTGCTTCCAGAAGACCAAGCCTCCCAAGCCCGCCGCTCCTGCCGTCTACTTCTGGCCTTCTCCCTATTCCTTATGGTGTTCCCATTGGCCGATATTGTCACTTCATGGGTCCTGACTTATCAAAACCACCGTTCCATCAATTTGCCAGAACATTCGAGACTGATTTTCGAGAGTTATAGCCCGCAGAGCTATAACGCCGAAAAGAAAAGTTTCGTCTGGAAGGCAAGTGATGCCGAGGAGGAGGAAAGGAAATGGAGACGTAATCAAAAGGTAATTATTCTAAAATTAGAAGAAAAATCCTACATTTTAAGTTTAAAACCAAGAAAATCGCTAAAAAATGAAGAAAGTTATGGCAATTTCAAGTCTGAATAAGGTTTTTTGGAAGATTTCAAAATTTTAAAACCCTCATAACTCACTCAGTTTTCCGTTTATTTTTTCATGGTTATTATCATTCATTTTGTCTTGAAAAGAGCTTCAAAATGAGTATAATCATGTCCCACTTTCGAAAATTTCGAAATTTGGTGATTTTGGGTCCCACCACGAGAAATGTGAAAATTCAATTTTTTCAATTTTCAAAGTAGATCATTTTTATACTCATTTTGAAGCTCATAACTTGCCAAGCCAAGAAATATATGATTTTTGTAAGTTTAGACGGAAAATGGGTAAAATTCGAGAGCTTTTCTGAAAATGTCAAAAAATCTCGAAAATGTCAAAACTACCGTATCTCGCTCAATTATCACCCAAAGCAAATTTCAATAAGATAGTTAGGTTTTAAAAATTTCAGGTTTCAAAATGAGCCCAAAAACGACTAGGCTCCGCCCACTTTCATTTTTCGGATGCGTCGCGGTCGTGCGTCGCGTGCGCGTGCGAAAATTCAAAGTAGCCTAGTCGTGTTTAGGCTCATTTTGAAGCTCACAGCTTGCTAAGTCAAGAAATACATAAATTTTGAAGTGTAGACTGAAAATGTCTGAAATTTGGCTGAAAATCACTTTTTTGGAAATTTTTTTTTCCAAAATTCAAAGCTTCATAACTTGGTTCGTTTTTAAGCTATTATGGCGGTTTTAGGCTTAAAATGTAGCATTTTTCTTCTAATTTGTATAAAATTTAAAAATGTTTAGACCGAACGCAACAATCTCCATCTCCTCAAGCGTTTCCTAACCCCATCATCAGAAGAGACCACTAAGCCAGCTCAATTGACAAGAACCGTCGATGTTATGGAATTTCTGACAAATAGCACATATTATTGGAAGAAGCAGTCGGAGGAAGAATTGGAAGATAATAGAGAGATTTTGATGAAAAAACTTGAGGAAGAATTTGAGGAAGAGTATAGAGAAGCCCTTAAGGACTTTGTGGATTCGGTCCAAAAATGGAAATGGATAATTTCAAATGCCACAGCAAATTTGCAAAATTCGAAAAGTTGCCGAGCACTGGCTCCAATTCCACCGGCTCCATTCACCCCACGACGCATTCAGAAGCGTCAATTGCCACGTCATCAACCGTGTTTCGTGCATGTGAATCAGTCGAAATGGACTTGTCAGAAGAACTTGCCATCTGTGATTTATGAAATTCCGAAAAAGTCTTTTGGGAAGATTCCAAACTTCACTATTCTGCCACGTGGCGTCGCCTACAGTAAGAAGCAAAGAGGATACGGTAGAAGTGGAGGGCAAAAGGAACAATATGAAGTTTGTGGAAAGGTGAGCAATAATTTTAATTTACCCATAACTTGGCTCATTTTGGACCAATTTCTTTGGATTTCTGTAGCTAATAAAATTTCCTTTATTTCCACAAAAATCTTGAACAACTTTCAAATTCGAAATTTTCCAAAAAATAATCATAACATATTTTTTTTTTTGAAAATTATCCCAAAATTTTTAATTTTCCCATATCTCATCTCATTTTAACCCGATTCTCTTAAATTTTGGCTTAAAATTGAGTTAATAAAATTTTCTACATTTTTACAGTAATACTGAACACTTTCCGAAATAAGAAAATTTCGAAAAATCGTCGACTATTTGAAAAATATCCCAAAAAATTGTAATTTCCCCATAACTTGTGTTTAAAATGTAGCTAATAAAAATTTTTTTCATTTTTACAATAATCCCAAGCAACTTTCTAAAGCAAAAAATTCCCCAAATTTTGAAGATTTTTTCTGAAAATTTCAAATTTCCCGACACTTTCCTTCCTTTTTCAGAAGGCCAGCCAATCGATGCGCAACACTGTCTCCAAGCCAACTGACACGTGTCACTCTCGACAACTCTCAAAATTCAGCCCTCGCAGAAAACACATCGCCTACAAGGCCCCACTCCCGTGCAAGATCACCGCTTACAGTAAGTCCCTATTTTTTCTGTCTTGAAATCAAAAAACTTGTGTCTGAAAACGTGATTTTTGAATTTGTTTTGTCTAGAGCTTCAAAATGAGTATAAACACGACTAGATTTGATAAAAATTGAAATTTCACATTTTTCGTGGTGGGACCCGAAAATCGAGAATTTTCGAAATTTTCTAAAGTGGGTCATGATTATACTCATTTTGTAGCTCTCCTCGAAACAAACACAGTAGTACAAAAATTTCTGAATTTTAACAATTTTCAGCCGAGATATGGACCGATTTCTGAAAATTCTGAAAATTTTTGAATTGAATTTTTTCTATAACTCAGGTCATTTTGACCCGATTCTTGTAAATTTTGGCTTTAAATGAAGCTAATTTAATTTTTAACACGTCTACAGTAATACTGAGCATATTTCAAAATCATAAATTCTCAAAAAACTGACCTAAAATTGCTTTTCAGATAAAAATTCCAAACATTTTAATTTCCCCCATAATTCAGCTCATTTTGACCCGATTTTGGTGTATTTTAGCTCAAAATGAAGCTAAAGAAAATTCAAATAGCTACACGACAGTTTTTGGCAATTTTTAAAACCAAAATTTCTCAAAAACCCGTCATAAAATAAGTTTTTTGAAAAATATTTCAAAAAAATTTAATTTTTCAAAATTTCCCCATAACTCAGCTCATTTTTACCCGATTGTTAAAAATGTTAGCTTAAAATGAAGTTAATAAAATTTCCAGTAATTCTACAGTATTCCTGAGCTATTTTCAGAACCAACAATGCCCAAAAAATCGTTCAAACCATCGACATCCAGTGACGATTGGCTTCAGAAGAGAAGCCATCATCGTGCTCAACTTCGCTCCCGAGCCTAATCATTTTTTCGAAAAATGTTGAATTTTTTGAATTTTTGTACACTTTTCTGTCCCCTGTTAGCTTTTTTCGATTAGATTTTTTCGATTTGTAAAAATGGATTTTTTTGAATTATTGAAAAAAAAATTTTTTCAAAAATTTCAAAAAAAAATCCAAAAAAAAACCAATTTTTGTACAAAAAATGTGTGTATTACTGTATACTTTTTGTGTTTTTTTTCTACTTTTTCCCCAATTTTGCTTTCAAAAAACCCCCAAAATCTGTCTCTAAAAATTTGTATAAATCAATTTTTCTCGGAATTTCTAGTTTTTTTCATTTGGAAAAAAAAAATATATATATATATATGATCAAAAAATTAAAAAATTAAAAAATTTGAAAAAAATTAGAATCGAGTAACGTGAGACGTCGATCGAGAAGCTGCACCGGATTTCCAGTCTGAAAGTTTTAAATTTTTCAGAAAAAAAGACTCAGAACTTTTTCAAAACTAGTTGAATCCTAAACATTTATTGAGATTCGATCTTACCTTGTTGAGAGCTTTAAAATGAGCCTAAACACGACTAGGCTCCGCCCACTTTGAGTTTTCACAACCGCACGCGACCGCGACGCGCTTGAAAAATCAAAGTGGGCGCAGCCTGATCGTGTTTGGGCTCATTTTAAAGCCTGAAATTTTTAAAATCTAACTGTGTGATTGAAATTCGACTTGGATGAAAGTTGAGCAGGAAACGTTTTTTTTTTTCCCAAAACTTTGACTTTTTTCAGAAATGATTGAATTTCAGTCAAATCTTTGTCGAAATTGAAAAAATAGCATTATTTTAGTGTTCAGCTCGATGAGAGCTTTAAAATAAGCATGAACACGACTAGGCTCCGCCCACGTTGAAATTTCACCTAGACACGCGACGCACGACCGCGACGCTTCCGAAAAACTCAAAGTGACCGGAGCCTAGTCGTGTTTGGGCTCATTTTGAAGCTCTCAGCGAGGTGAATCCAAAAATTTGATTATATTCTCAAAATCAGAAAATCTAAAGTTTTACCTCCAGTTTTTGTGAATCCCATGCTTGTCACTGTCGCCGCGTAGCGCTTCAGATACATTTGCATGAAGCCGGCGCGGACCTAAAAATAAAATTTTGAAAATTAAGATGTGCAGGTTCTACCGTACCTTGGAGCTCAGAAAAATCAAAACATAAGGCTGTGAAATGGTCAAAAAGTCGCTGGCAAACGGAAGAACCACTTGAGCAATTTGACCGAGCATTGAGGTCCGGGATGGGTCGAGTTGGAGCACAAACTGAAATTTTTCGGAGTTTTTTGGGCTGAAAATGACCCAAACATTCAAATTTAACGCTAAAAATTACCCTAAAGCGACCTAGAAATCATAGAAGTTGGTCTAGAAATGCATAATCCTGATTTTCAGATACTTATATTTTCAGATATGTCTGAAAATTGCTAAAAAAGCAATATGAAGGTTTTAAAAGATGTTTTTTAGACTAAAAATAACCGGAAATTTTGAATTTTGCTTGAAAAATCACCCTAAACTGACCCTAAAGCTAGGAAAACCATCCCTACCGTATTCGCCGCCGCAAAGCACTGAATAATCGAAGAAAAGATGGTGACCAACAGCAAATTCCTCTCGACAGTTGAAATTTTGGATTGAATAGTTTTCAGACGAATTACAGAGATTATATTGAGGAAAACTGAAAGGGAAACTGCAAATGCCATGAAGTAGATGACGTTGTAGTAGGCGGGCAGGATGTTCTGGAATTTTAAGGATTACTGTAGTTTTGAAATATGGAACCTAAATAAATTTTATAGCATCTGAAAGCCCTTGTTCTCAAAATCACAATGCAATAAAATCAAGTTTTTAGCTCAATTTTGAAGCGAGATATGCGTCTTTAAACTTTGCTGAGAGACGCGGAGAAACGAGAGCGCTCTTGTTTCTCTTCGTCTCCCCTGGCTTTAAAGGCGCATAACTCAAAAACTAGTAAAGTCATCAAAAAGGTGTCAACTAACAAAATTTTTAAAATAAAATTTCACACATTTTTGTAATTTAAACTTTTTTGATAGCTACAGTACTTTTTAAGTTATGCGCCATCAAACTTGGTGCATATGATTTTTGTGGGAATTTTATCAAAAATTTCAAAAATATGCGATATGTTATAACATCTGAAAGCTCTAAATCCAAAAATCAAAATGCGCTAAAAATCAAGTTTCTAGCTCAATTTTGGAGCGAGTTATAGCCCTTTTTGCATTCGAGAGACGCAGAATAACGAGAGCGCTCTCTCGATTCTCTGCGTCTCGGGGAAGTGCGCTAACGTTAAAGGCGCATAACTCAAAAACTAGTAAAGTCATCAAAAAGGTGTCAACTAATAAAATTTTTAAAATAAAATTTCACACACTTTTGTAATTTAAACTTTTTTGATAGCTACAGCACTTTTTAAGTTATGCGCCTTCAAAGTTGGTACATATGATTTTTGTGGGATTTTCTTACCGAATCCGATTTGATGGTGTACATGTCTAAAGCCGAGTTATAGGTGTAATAGGGTACTGTAGACAAGATTGTACGCGTTCCAATAGTCATCACAATAACGATGAGCAATGTGAGAATTGGGAGCGAAAATTTCCAGATCTGAAAAAAAAAAATTTGAAAAATTTTTTTTTGAAAAATTTTCAAACACCGTATCTCGGTCAAATTTGAACCGTTTTTCTAGATTTTTTGCTTGAAATCATCGGGAAAACATGCCAAATTTGAACATTTAAATTTCACAAACCTTCTCATTGATAAAATAGAAGAAAATTGAAGTCGCCCGATTCAATGACATCATTGTGACCATACCGTATTGAAAATAGGCATTTCCAAAGTGTAAGAAATAGCAAATATACAGAAAACCACCGGTATATTGATTATTTTGTCCCAAAGAAGCAAATAAATTGGATAGAAGGCAATCTTTACAAGTTCCATTCGGTAAACGGAGGGTTATCATTGAGTTTAGCCAGTTAGAAGGTTCTGGAACACTTTTTTAGGATTTTTGAGGTAATTACAAGCTTCTAGGGTGATTTTTGATGGTTTAAATCAATTTTCGGGTTTGATTACCCATAGAACTTAATTTTGGGTTCAATTTGAAAGAAAATTGAAAAATTAAAATTAAATTGAACTTTTTCATATTTTCGAAAATTTTCATCTCGAAATGTAAAGCGAGTTTTCAGGTCCTAGAAGCGCTCTAGGGTTAATTTTGATAATTTTAATCAATTTTTCAGGGTAAATCACTCCTAAAATAGATTTTTTGGTTCAATTCGAGAGATTCATCAAAATTTGGAAAAACATTGAAAATTTCACATTTTAAGAATTTTTTCATTTTGTAGTGTAAAGCAAGTTTTTAGGTCCTAGAAGCGCTCTAGGGTAATTTTAATAGTTTTATTCAATTTTTCAGGTACTATTACCCCCAGAAAACAATTTTCAGACTGAAAATTCACTTTTTTTATTTTTTCCAGAAAATTGAAAAAAAAACTCTGAAAACTCACAAAGGGATTCTGGAACACTTATTCCTGTTTTTGCCTGGTTTTTAAGCTTTTAGGGTGGTTTTTGACTGTTTAAATCGATTTTTCAGGTCAAATTACCCCTAGAAATTGATTTTCAGGCCCAAAATTCACTTTTTGGTTTTTGTTCAAAAGATTTTCCGAAAACTTACAAAAAAGTAATCAGCAATCACTATATGAAAAAATGCGGATTTGAATTCTTTCCAATTTTTGAACAACATAATAATGAGCAATGTATAAATGGCAAAAGAAATTGAGCAGTAGAAAAATGAGCCCAGAAATTTCAGATTGAAAAGTGTCATTTTCTGAAAAATCGAATCCCAGAAATTCATTATTTTCAGAAATTTAAGACTAAGAAGATCAGGAAGATCAGGAAGAATGAAAGTGCGGATTTTCAGATTTTCAGACAGACTGGAAAAGTAGAAAAGTGGTGTGAGAGAATTTCTTTTTCTGAAATCTGAAAATTCTGAAAAAGTCTGAAAACTTTTTCAGACAAATTTTCTTTAAAAATATCATCGGAATCTCTTGAAATTTTTAGATTAAAAAAACCTGAAAAATAATTTTTCTGGAAATTTTTTTCGGCTAAAAAACAAGCCTGGTGGGTGGGGGGGAACTGAAAAAAATATGAAAAAAATGTGCTGAAAATTTGGAGAGAACCAAAAAAAAAGGCTGTAATTTTCAGATATTTTCTGGTTTTTTTTTCAGCTGGAACGAAAAGAAAATTACATGAGTCAGGGATGAATAAGAAATGAGTTTTTAAAAAATGTACAGTAATCAGAAATTAAAAAGAGTCAGAAATTAAAAAGAGTCAGAAATTAAAAAGAGTCAGAAATTAAAAAGAGTCAGAAATTCAGAAATTCAGAAATTCAGAAATTCAGAAATTCAGAAATTCAGAAATTCAGAAATTCAGAAATTCAGAAATTCAGAAATTCAGAAATTCAGAAATTCAGAAATTCAGAAATTCAGAAATTCAGAAATTCAGAAATTCAGAAATTCAGAAATTCAGAAATTCAGAAATTCAGAAATTCAGAAATTCAGAAATTCAGAAATTCAGAAATTCAGAAATTCAGAAATTCAGAAATTCAGAAATTCAGAAATTCAGAAATTCAGAAATTCAGAAATTCAGAAATTCAGAAATTCCAGAAAATTAAGAATTTGAAAAATTCGACAATGACAAAAGCTCTGAAAATTGCTATCATTTCAATTTTTTCAAGAAGAAAATAAGTTTCGGTTCTAGATTTTGATGTTTCAGAGAACCTAAAAATCAGAAATTTCGAAAAATAAATGACTATGAAAATTTAAAATGACTATGAAAATTGAATTTCTCGAATTTTTTGGATCATTTTAAGTCAAAAATCTGAAAAGTTGACTGAAAATTGACTAAAATAAATAAAGTTGAAAATTTGAAAATTTGATTTTTTTTTTGAAAAAATCGAAAATTTAAAATTCCCATAACTTTGTTCATTTCCAACCAATTATCGAAATTTTTAGCTCAAAATGTTTAGAAATTTGTATATTTTCATAAAAATTTGTTGGTTTAAAGCAAAAACGCAAAAATCTGAAAAGTTGGCTGAAAATGGAATTTGAAAATCATCTTGAAAAAAAGTTTTTTTTCAGATTTTTCAAAAATTCAAAAATTTCAAAAAATTTAATGAAAATTGCCATTTTTAATGTTTTCAATGTATTTTGAAGGTATTTTTATCTATTTTCAAAGTTTTTCAAAATTTCGAATTATCTTTAAAATTTTGAAATTTTCTCAAAAACTTTTTTCCCATTTTTAGATTTTTAAAAATCCAAAAAATCACGAATCTCTAGAATTTTCTGCTAAAATGCACAAAGAAAAAATGATGGAGTTCCAAAGAGTGCACATGGTACTGATATGCACCTGATGTCATTAAAATCTCAAAAATCAAAAATTTTATTTTCAAAAAAAATTGAAAAATCGAGAAAAAATATTCAGTTCCTTGGCACTTGTGACGCTCTGGACCCAGACTGACGGCCTAAAACAAAAAAAATAGGCTCCGCCTCTTTTTAGGCTCCGCCCACTTACCAAGACTCTTCACGAAAAAGACGCCAACTTTGGGCGATTTGCCGAAATACATTTTCAGCATTTCCAGACGGACCTGAAACTTAAAAAAATTATTCTAATAAAATGTTCTCTACAATACCTTGGAGCTCATTAAAATCAAAATATACGGTTGAGAAATTGTCAAGAAATCGCTGAAAAATGGGAGCAGACTTGGGCAACTTGTCCGAGTACTGTACTTCGAGATGGATCGATTTGGAGGAGGAACTGAAAGTTTTGGTTTTTGCAATTTGCATTTTCTGAAAATATCGATTTTTCCAGACATTTTAAGCTGTAAATCATAAAAATTGGCTGGAAATGAGCAAAGTTATGTAATTTTCAATTTTTCAATTTTTTCGAAAAAAATTTTTTTTTTGAAAAATTAAAATATTCATGACTTGGTTCATTTTCAGCCAATTTTCAAGTTTTTTAGCTCAAATTTTTCAGATAACTTTCTATTTTCAGAAAAATACAAAAAATCCCGATTTTTGAAATATTTTCCTACCGTATTCCCTGCCGCGGCGCACTGTACAATAGAACTGGCAATAGTGGAAAACAACAAATTCCGCTCAATTGTTGATAAACTTTGAGAAGTGATAAAAAACTTCAATTTCAACACTGAAAATGTATTTAGAATTACAGATGAGGTTACGGAAAGGGCCATGAAATTGATGACGTTGGAGTAGGCGGAGAGGATGTCCTGGAATTTTAAAAAGGGGTTACTGTAGTTTGGAAAAATAACTAAGACAAATTTTAAATTTTCTGAAAGCTCTTACTCTGACGAACAAAATGCGCTAAGAATCAAGTTTCTAGCTTAATTTTGAAGCGAGTTATAGCCATTTTTGCAAACGAGAGCGCTCTCGTTTCTCTGCGTCTCTCCCGGCATGGATGGTGCGCTAACTTTAAAGTGACATAACTCAAAAACAAGCGAAGCTATCAAAAAGTTGTCAACTAATAAAATGTTTAAAATAAAATTTCAAACATTTTTGTAGTTTTCATCTTTTTGATAGATACAGTACTTTTTGAGCTGAGCGTCTTTGAAGTTGCTGCAATTGATTTTGTGGAATTTTCATATCAAAAATCTCAAAAGAAAGATTTTAGTAAACACATAAAGTTGTATATCATCTGAATGCTTTTTTCCGAAAATCGAAATGCGCTAAAAATCAAGATTCTAGCACAAATTTGAAGCAAGTTATAGCCCTTTCTGCATTTGAGAGACGCAGAGAAACGAGAGCGCTCTCGTTTCTCTGCATCTCTCTTAAATGCAAAAAGGGCTATAACTAGAGCTAGAATGAACCTAGGAAACTGGTTTTTTTTTGCATTTTGATCGCTAGAAAACATTGTATTTTAAGCTAGTTCTTGAAAATTTTGGAAGTTCAGGAAATGTTTAAAAATTTCAAAAATATTCGATAAACATTTTTTTAACGATTTTAGAAATATTTTCTGAATAAAACTTACCGACATTGTATATCATCTGAAAGCTCTAAATCTGACAATCAAAATGAGCTAAAAATCAAGTTTCCAGCATGAATCTGAAGCGAGTTATAGCATTTTTTGTATTTGAGAGAC